CCGGTGTCGTTTGGCCTTCCGCAATGAAAGGCACACTCTTGAAATTGCCGGAATGTGAATAAGAAATTAGCAGTTAAGTAGCAGTCACTCGCACGTCCAAACATTGGAAACTTTGGCTACTCTGCCAAAAAGGCCGTACCTTCAGAATTCTTCAGATGGAGGCGATGGAAAAATCTTGGGCTGCACCATCTCATTAAATATGGGAACAGTGTCAGCAACCGAAAGCCGAGTTTTCAGGTGGGCTTCAAGCTGAGTGCTGAATCTAGTCAAGGAACTTCGTGAACCTTTCTCTCCCAAGCATTCCTCACGTCACGTGATTGCGGCTTATGTTTTCAAGATTATGATCAGTTAATGTTAATGCCTGAGGCCTCCGGTTGCACATTCATGGCAGGCAACAGCCGCTCAAGAAACAGGAGTCATCTACTTCCGCCATCTCTGATGCACAACGAAGTACTACCTTACTGCAACTTTCTGTGTCAGTCGGAGCAAAGTGTATCTTTCGGCGTCAGGCAGCTATCCCGAGCCTGTCACCTGACAGTGATTTAACCGAAGCAACCAGACATTTTATTCGGCTCTGTTCTGCTGATCACCTTTGCCAAAAAGTCTGGCTCTGGCAATGCCGAGAACAAAAACAATGGGCTCATGCCGAAGATGTGGCTCCTCATACCTGTTGTGGTCAGAATCAAACAGCCCACATGGTAAAAGCGTTTGCCTATCTCGAAGCCTCTGAAGGCAGCTGGTGTCCGACGTCACTCTTGTACTCCCAACGGAGAAATACCGCTCCCCCCGCCAAGTCTATGTAGCCAGAGACCCTGGCTGCTGCGAGGTTGTGAGTGGTGCAAGTTGTCCGAGTCGTGGCAAATTCTCAAGTGGCCCTTCTATATCCATCAGAAACCAGCTATCTGGAGACTGTGGGTTGACATTTCTTTGCTCCATCTAGGCACGCGACAACTGCTTTCTCCCCTTGGCTGTTGTGTGGGTTTGGGACTTTGGTGACAGTGTGTTGTCAACTTTGAAGCTGAAGGCCAGTCGTACTTGAAGCCACTTCTGAAATCCAAAGCGGGTCTTGCCAGGTTGTGCGCCAGCATTTATTTAAACCAGATACAAGAGCAAGGTGCTCGCCCAACCTCACAGGGGAATGCTGCAGTCAACAGAATTGACACGTGCTTGAGCCAGTCTGATGCAACGATTCTGCGCGCGTCGGGAAGCCTTTGCTCAATCCTCCAACTTCAATGTTGACGTCGAACTACCACGATTTGCTCAGTTCAGCATTGCAGTAAGCGTGACTTTAGACCTTGACCTTGCCAAGTCCAACTGCATGTCAAGGCGATTGACATGTACAGCTTCTAGAGCTGGAAGAGAAGCACCCTTGTGCTCGTTAATGGAGCTTCCGGAAATAATTCAATCATGCGTGGCCTAGATTTGCCGCCTTCAAAGTAGAACGTGCTCCTGTTTTGCGTCCAAAACCAAAGTGCACTTGCAAGACAATGTTCTTCAGTTCTTTATGTTGACAATCTGACTCTCGTTTCCAAGCTGTAACTGGCCTTGCTAGCAACTGCGGTTTCCAGCGCCATGTATAGGGTACTTTAAAGGCTCCTTACCTTGCAAAGCCTATCTGCAACAAACATCTGCCACAACTCAAGCAGATGGAAAGTGTTCAACCAATTGGCGGCCTGGAGGCTATGGCCTGCGTAAAACGAGCTCTTCTCGGCCGCACTGATCTGCACTCAGAGCTTGAACCACTCCACTGAAGCATCTCAGAGACCGGACCGACAGCAACGATTCTGCGCGAAAGGGGACCTTCGCTTTAGCCGATCACTGCTTTCTGTACCTACGCGAAGAGCCTTCGAACAATACAATGGGTTGAATTGTGATCCCAGCGCGTGGGGCTTCAAAAGGCTCCGTGCCCCCGCAAATGCTGAGGAACTGCTTTCGCAACAAGACCTGGAGCTCCTCTCTTGTCCAACTTGTCTATATAAATTCTTTCATTTCATAAAGAACAGTGTTCGTTTGTAGGGAAATCGGTTTTTCACCGGGTTCGAACCTGGGTGAATCGCTTGATACGTTTGCTAAAGCTCTTTCCAAGGATCGTTGTACTTGGCGCACCTACGAGTGAATCAATGAACCGATTCTTGAGACAGACAGCAACCTGGTGCCATAAGACTCCATGCAGGGCTGTACCTTATCTGGACTGTCTGGTTGCAAGATTGGATGCTGTTACCTTCACTGTCACAGAAATGGGATTTGAAGCCACATGGGTTTCTTTCCCCTAGGATGGTGTTCATTGATTTTCCACACCAAATTTGCAAAGTATATACATGTTTTAACACGATTGGTTATATTTACAATAACTAATGTAAGATAATTCAAATGCTACAGTGATAAACAACTAGTATAAATGTATATTATATATGTTTTTTCAGTTTCATATCTTAGTTTCTGTTTATGTTATGATGTTTTTTATTTTTCAAGACCGGATCGTCCATTTTTTGATCGAGACTGTATATAATCTTGCGCCACTTGAATTTTGAATCTACCCAGGTGGGGTTTGGACAAATGCGGGTAGGTGCAAACAGCAACCTGGTGCCAGACTCTATGCAATTCGTCAGGCTGTCCGTTTTTGACTGCGCCTAGCTGCCCACCTTTCAAAACCTTGTCTGGATTGTCTGGTTGCAACATTGAATGAGATACAGTTTACTGGCAAAGAAGTGAGATTTGAAGCCACAGATGTTTCTTTCCTCAGAAAGAAGTGACACAGACTTGGAGAGGACTCAAAGCTTAAGCTTGGCTGGCTCTAGGCTGATCCAACAACACAACCAGCTATTTGCCTACCAATAATGCAAGGTCTTGCAGCTGAATGCTCACTGTTCTGTGCTCAGCCCCAGAGGACATGTGAATCGGTCCGTGTCTGCGGTGAACATAGCCTTCACCACCCACTGAGCGGAATGCTGCGTGGCAAGAACTGAGGCATGGCACGGCAGTTGGCTGGACCCCAAGCACCAAAGGGTTTATTGATGCTCAAGTCAGGACTCAGAGCTTAAGTTTCACTGGCTGATGCAACACCACAATGAGTTTTTTTAAGTTTATGGCCCTATGGCAAATATGGGGTGTATCGCCATTTGGGAAGGTCCCATCGCTTACCTCATATTTGTACAATATTTGAAAACCGATGTCCATCCCTTACACGTGCTCTATTGCCGGACTCTTTACGGTGGCTCATTTGCTAAATTGACCCAACAAAATTCATCCTTCTGAGGGTATGGAAAGCATCCCCTCCTACTCGAGACATAAAAGATATCAAACATATTCAAAAATACTAGTCTCTCTGTAGCAACAAAGCCTCCCGTGAACAAGAGAACAAGCATAGGCGCTTCTCAAGATCGCAAAGACCCGGTAAAGATGATGTTCAAGTCAAAAGACTGAGAGCCAAAGCTTCACTGGCCCTAGGCTGATCCTGCAACAGACCCAACACCACAACTAGCTATCGTCAGATGGTTCAACGGATGGAGGCTCCAACGGTGTTGAATAAAGCTGGACCTCTGCTAAAGTTGACCCAACAAAATTCATCCTTCTGAGGGTATGGAAAGCATCCGACCTCCTACTCGAGACATAAAAGATATCAAACATATTCAAACATACTGGTCTCTCTGTAGCAACAAAGCCTCCCGTGAACAAGAGAACAAGCATAGGCGCTTCTCAAGATCGCAAAGACCCGGTAAAGATGATGTTCAAGTCAAAAGACTGAGAGCCAAAGCTTCACTGGCCCTAGGCTGATCCTGCAACAGACCCAACACCACAACTAGCTATCGTCAGATGGTTCAACGGATGGAGGCTCCAACGGTGTTGAATAAAGCTGGACCTCTGCTAAAGTTGACCCAACAAAATTCATCCTTCTGAGGGTATGGAAAGCATCCGACCTCCTACTCGAGACATAAAAGATATCAAACATATTCAAAAATACTGGTCTCTCTGTAGCAACAAAGCCTCCCGTGAACAAGAGAACAAGCATAGGCGCTTCTCAAGATCGCAAAGACCCGGTAAAGATGATGTTCAAGTCAAAAGACTGAGAGCTAAAGCTTCACTGGCTCTAGGCTGATCCTGCAACAGACCCAACACCACAACTAGCTATCGTCAGATGGTTCAACGGATGGAGGCTCCAACGGTGTTGAATAAAGCTGGACCTCTGCTAAAGTTGACCCAACAAAATTCATCCTTCTGAGGGTATGGAAAGCATCCCCTCCTACTCGAGACATAAAAGATATCAAACATATTCAAAAATACTAGTCTCTCTGTAGCAACAAAGCCTCCCGTGAACAAGAGAACAAGCATAGGCGCTTCTCAAGATCGCAAAGACCCGGTAAAGATGATGTTCAAGTCAAAAGACTGAGAGCTAAAGCTTCACTGGCTCTAGGCTGATCCTGCAACAGACCCAACACCACAACTAGCTATCGTCAGATGGTTCAACGGATGGAGGCTCCAACGGTGTTGAATTAAAGCTGGACCTCTGCTAAAATTGACCCGACTTAACTCATCTGTCTGCGGGTGTGGAAATAATCCGATCTCGTGCGCAAGACCTGAAAGATGTTAAAAGAAGACTTCCCTGCAGCAAAACAGAACTCTGTTTGGCTTCGGTGCAGCCTTGTGGTTTGCGGCAACATCATCACCGCTTAACTACAAGACGAGGACACCTAAAACACCACCCGCAAGCTGCAGACCCTGCTGCGTGACTTCAAGATAAAGCAGACAAACAGCTGTTGAGTATCGAAATCTCAAGGCACGCCGAAGGATAGGGCGCCAAAGTGACAAGGCAAGGCTTAAGTTTCACAAACTGGGCCCCCAAAGCTACAAATCGCTGACAGAACATACACAAAGCCAAGGCACCTTTAACCTTCCACAACAAGGGATTGACCATCTCAATCCTACGGTTGGGGGGTTACCTTCACTGGGGCAATCCAACACCACAACTGGCTATCGTCAAATGGTTCAACAAACGTCGAGCAGTTGGTACTCACCGCACTGGCACAACCACAGTTTTCCTCAGCTCGCTGTGGTCACCGGTTTTGCCTCAGCAAAGCTGGCATTTGGCAGCAGTTTCCTCAGTAGTTTTCTCACCCAGCTGGCCCAAACCGAAGCTCTTCCGCTCTATCCAAGCTGGTGGCTACACCGACTGGCCCTGCAGTCGCATGCCAAGCTTGTCAACATTCAGGTGCCAAGGCAAGGCTTAAGTTTCACTGGGGCAATCCAACACCACAACTGGCTATCGTCAAATGGCTCAACAAACGTTGAGCAGTTGGTAACTTTGGTTCAACAGCGCACTCAAACCGAAGCTCTTCCGCTCTATCCAAGCTGGTGGCTACAGTACCTACTTTTCTCACAGACGCTTCAATGCACAATGTTCCCACGAAAGGACTCCTGAATTCCTATCGGCACTGCAACCAACCTCTTCAGAAAGCTCCTGGATCCATGGCGCCAACCGGTGTATTCCTTGGCATCCATTCATTTTCCAGAGTTTTAAACGTTTTTTGGGTGTTTAGTTTGCTTTTCACCGGTTTTTTTGGCTTTGAACGATTTTGTTTTGTTCTTGCCGTTTTTGGACGTGTTTCCCGCGACTTGCATACATGATCACTAGTGGCATGGACGGTTCTGTGTTGTTTGCCGTTGTATTCATCGTGCATCCACTGTGTTAAACAAACAGACATGATTGATTGATTGATTGATTGATTGATTGATTGATTGATAGATAGATAGATAGATAGATAGTGTATCATACACTTGCATGTTGTCACAAGCCGCGGGGGGCGGGGGGTGGCTCTAAATAAAAAAGGCGGAGGGGGGCAGGGGGAGGCGCCGCGCAAAGCGTCACATGGTCATGATACATTCATTCGCAATGTAGGTGGGCCTTATCATGCACCTTTGTGGCGTTGTCACAGCATACAGCGGTAGCGTAATACTAGACGTAGCAGTTGGTGGGCCATATCATCCACCTTTGTGGTTTTGTCACAGCATGGCAGCAAAGCACGCGCTTGAATTTTGACGACAAGTTTGATCACATACGCTTGAAACAGAAGGTGGGCCGTATCATACACTTGCATTTTGTCACAAGCCGCGGGGGGGTGGCTCTAAAATAAAAAGGCGGGAGGGGGGCGCGGGGGGAGGGCGCAGCGCCTCCCCCCGCAAAGCGTCACATAGTCATGATACATTCATTCGCAATGTAGGTGGGCCTTATCATCCACCTTTGTGGCGATGTCACAGCATACAGCGGTAGCGTAATACTAGACGTAGCAGTTGGTGGGCCATATCATCCACCTTTGTGGTTTTGTCACAGCATGGCAGCAAAGCACGCACTTGAATTTTGACGACAAGTTTGATCACACACGCTTGAAACAGAAGGTGGGCCGTATCATACACTTGCATTTTGTCACAAGCCGCGGGGGGTGGCTCTAAAATAAAAAGGCGGGGAGGGGGGCGCGGGGGGAGGGCGCAGCGCCTCCGCCCGCAAAGCGTCACATAGTCATGATACATTAATTCGCAATGTAGGTGGGCCTTATCATCCACCTTTGTGGTGTTGTCACAGCATACAGCGGTAGCGTAATACTAGACGTAGCAGTTGGTGGGCCATATCATCCACCTTTGTGGTTTTGTCACAGCATGGCAGCAAAGCACGCACTTGAATTTTGACGACAAGTTTGATCACACACGCTTGAAACAGAAGGTGGGCCGTATCATACACTTGCATTTTGTCACAAGCCGCGGGGGGTGGCTCTAAAATAAAAAGGCGGGGAGGGGGGCGCGGGGGGAGGGCGCAGCGCCTCCGCCCGCAAAGCGTCACATAGTCATGATACATTAATTCGCAATGTAGGTGGGCCTTATCATCCACCTTTCTGGCGTTGTCACAAGCCGCGGGGGGGGGCTTTAAAATAAAAAGATTCGGCATGAACACATACAAAAGAGGACCGGGGCAACATGTAAGAAGGACCAAGCCAGAGCGGAGAGGACAACCTCGGCAAACCAGGGTAGAGCTGATACTGCACATGCACGTGAATGACTTGACAACATTATACAAACGCTGAGCCATGCTGAGACTGAGAGAGCAGTAGTGGGTGCATGGTTGGCAGTGGCATCTAGCTGCTTCAAAAAATCTTTGCAGCGTCTGTGATTGTTGAAAGTTTTTGAAGCGTTGGTTTATCATTTGTCATGATATGAATTAAAACATTTTCAGGACACGATTTAAGATAAAAGTTTTTACACGTTATCTTATGGCTTAAAGTTGGTTTACAACCTATTTCAAATTTGCTATTTAGGGTTGGTTTAAAGTTTAAGTAAGACTGGTTCAGAATCTGATGAAAAAATTCTTTCAGGTTGGCTACCGGTTGATCTCAAGATATTTCAAACGTATTTTGGCAAGATGTATATGTATGTGTGGGCTTTTTGAACGGTAAAATATATAATGGTGCATTTGCAGGCGCGCAGGCTTGGAATCAAATAAAAACCGAAAAGGTTGATTTGGGGGGAGGGCTGAAGAAAGGCAATAGCGTCCTTCAAGTCTATAAACGGTCAGCTAGAGCGCCTTCACACGCTGCACGCATTGCTTTTCCTCTATGTGCCAATTTACCTCATATGTGGTGTGCCAAATCTACAATGCTATACCTCTATATCTCTCTTGGGCCACGACATTCCTTCCTTCCTTCCTTCCTTCCTTCCTTCCCTCCTCTTCCTTCCTTCCCTCCTGTTCCTTCCTTCCCTCCTGTTCCTTCCTTCCCTCCTCTTCCTTCCTTCCCTCCTGTTCCTTCCTTCCCTCCTGTTCCTTCCTTCCCTCCTGTTCATTCCTTCCCTCCTGTTCATTCCTTCCCTCCTGTTCATTCCTTCCCTCCTGTTCATTCCTTCCCTCCTGTTCCTTCCTTCCTTCCTTCCTGCCTGCCTGCCTTCCTTCCTTCCTGCCTGCCTGCCTTCCTTCCTTCCTTCCTTTCTGGCCTCTCCTTCTCAAGACAGAATCCAAAACAAGATGAAGCCCACGAACCCGAATGCTCACACGTATGTTAATGGTACAGATGTCAAAACACATGGTTATGAAGTGACGCACTATACCTTTCTGCAATCGTTTATTTGAACAGTCTTGTGCATGTTTCCCTTGATACCAGTCTGCAGTGTGGAGTGGAAAGTGTAGAGTGTGGAGTGTAGAGTGTGGAGTGTGGAGTGTGGAGTGTAGAGTGTAGAGTGAGGAGTGTAAAGTGCAAAGTGTGGAGTGTGGAGTTTGTAAATTGTAGAGTGTGAAGTGTAGAGTGCAAAGTGTAGAGTGTAAAGTGTAGAGTGTGGAGTGTAGAGTGTAGCGTGTGGAGTGGAAAGTGTAGAGTGTGGTGTGTAGAGTGTGGAGTGTGGAGTGTAAAGTGTGGAGTGTGGAGTGTAGAGTGTGGAGTGTGGAGTGTAAAGTGTAGAGTGTGGAGTGTAAAGTGTGGAGTGTAAAGTGTGGAGTGAGGAGTGTAAAGTAGAAAGCGTGGAGTGTAAAGTGTAAAGTGTGGAGTGTAGAGTGTATAGTGTAGAGTGTAAAGTGTAGAGTGTGGGGTGTGGAGTCTAAAGTGTGGAGTGTAAAGTGTAGAGTGTGGAGTGTATAGTGTGGAGTGTAAAGTGTGCAGTGAGGAGTGTAAAGTGTGGAGTGTGGAGTGTTGAGTGGAAAGTGTGAAATGTGGAGTGTAAAGTGTGGAGTGAGGAGTGTAAAGTGGAAAGCGTGGAGTGTAAAGTGTAAAGTGTGGAGTGTAGAGTGTATAGTGTAGAGTGTAAAGTGTAGAGTGTGGAGTGTGGAGTCTAAAGTGTGGAGTGTAAAGTGTAGAGTGTGGAGTGTATAGTGTGGAGTGTAAAGTGTGGAGTGTGGAGTGTAAAGTGTGGAGTGTGGAGTGTTGAGTGGAAAGTGTGAAGTGTGGAGTGTAAAGTGTGGAGTGAGGAGTGTAAAGTGTGGAGTGTGGAGTGAGGAGTGTAAAGTCTAAAGTGTGGAGTGTGGAGTGTACAGTAAAGGGAGGAGTGTGGAGTGTAAAGTGTAGAGTGTGGAGTGTAAAGTGTAGAGTGAGGAGTGGAAAGTGTAGAGTGTAGTGAAAAGTGTGGAGTGTGGAGTGTAAAGTCTCAGGTGAGGAGTGGGGAGTGTAAAGTGCAAAGTGTAAAGTGTGGAGTGTAAAGTGTAGAGTGTGGAATCTAAAGTGTAAATTGTGGAGTGTGGAGTGTAAAGTGTAGAATGTGGAGTGCGGAGCTTCCCCCATAGACACGGCGACGCCACAGGACAACCAAAGACTCGAAACGAGACTCGTAAGTGCAGAAAAACGAACATTTCATGCGAGACTTCATCCAATTTTAACATTTTCGTCGCGTTCTCAAACAGGTTGGAATGTCACAAAGTGCCACGCCTGCCACGCAAAACGACATGACAAGCTGCTTGGAAACCTTCGAAAAGGAGAGGTTTTGCGGCTTCCCCCATAGACACGGCGAAGCCACAGGAAAACCAGAGACTCGAGACAAGACACGTGGATGCAGAAAAACGAGCATTTCGTACGAGACTTCCTCCAATTTTCATAGTTTGAAACATGCCGCAAGAACATGTTTTCCAGCTTCCCCCATAGACACGGCGAGGCCACAGGGAAACCAGAGACTCGAGACGAGACACGTGGGAGCACCAAAACGAGCATTTCGTGCGAGACTTCCTCCAATTTTCACACTTTGTAGCTTCAAAATCGACGTTTTCCTACGAGTTTTCCTTAGAACGTGAAAATTTGCAACCTCAAAATCGATGTTTCGTGCGAGGCTTCCGTCAATTTTCAGCACATGTCAGAAAATGCCACGCCTGCCACGGAATTTGCACCTTGTCGCCACTTGACGCAGCCCTGCCAATGCGATTTGCAAAAAACACGCAACATGACACGTCTAAAGTGCTGCGCCTGCCACGAAAAATGACGATGGACACGTCCAAAGTGCTGCGCCTGCCACGAAAACTGCAACACATCTTCTGAAAACGTCGCAAAAGTATTGCGCCTGCCACGCAAAACGACTTTCGACACGTTCCAGAACACGTCTGAATGTCACGAAGTGCCACGCCTGCCACGCGAAACGAAGCAACGACACGTCTGAAACCTCCAAAAATTACCACCTCTGCAGAACTTCCCATAGGCACGGCCATACGGTCCTCGCGCGGACGGTTGCGAACGGTTGCGGACGGTTGCGCTCGCGAACGCAACGTCGAGCGAACACACCCTCAACCCCCAGACCCCCAGAGTGAAACGGGAACCCTTGCTACGCATTCGGGAAAAAAACAAAAAAATAAACCTCCCTTTCTTAATGTCTATGTCGCGGACAACATCTATTCAACCTGCAAGAATCTTTTCAAAGACATCATCACATGTTATAATGTTTGATGCAGCCCCCATGCCTCATTCATCCTCATTCTGCTGAGGATCTCTTCAATAGGAAGTCGACCAAAATACAACCGAGACCAAACAAATCCGCCTGTGCGCCACCAAAGGATTCCTTTCGCAAGACCTGCATCACGAAGCCAACTGTGGACCTTCACAGCTTCTACAACTTCAGCATACGCATACACCAAGCTAAATTATGGACTATAGGTGACACAACAAGGCTCAAATCGCTTGAGGATGCTTGGAGAGTTTGTGAATCCAAACCACGTCATCGCTTGATCATGAACTTCATTTTCAAATCTCTCTGAAGGACCGAGAAAACGCTTTGGCTTTGGCTAAATCTGCCTCGGGCGCTGCATACTGGATAGATTTCGTGGCAAAATCGAAGAATTCTGCGGACCTGGAGAAGAAACATCGGAGCATTGAGCTGCACTTAGATCAGATGTGGGACCTCTAAGACCTGTAAGACCCATGAAATACCTCAATTTTGGGGACCCTCAGACATTGCAGGCAAAATGACTTCCGAAAGTTGCAGACTCAAGGGTCAAGTACAGAGAAACAGGAATGTTGATCAAACAAGTTTGAACCATTCATTTGCCAATTACAAACAAATTCAAGCAAAACGAGAGAGCATTGAAAAGGAAAAAACAGTTCACCAAACGCCCAAAACAGGAAGCCCTCGGTGAAGCCGCGCGCTATAATAGCCCAACGCTGCACAGCGCGGACCAACATGGAATGAACAGATTCCAGTCGGGTGTTCGAATATGTTCGACAGATATGTCAATTTTCAATTCATGTCACAAGTCACATGCATTTTCGGTTCATAGGTTCGAAATGGTTCGAATATGTTTGCATACGTTTTGTTTCAGGATTTAAAGAGATACACATCCAACAGCTGCGACAAGACACGAATCTGGTGGAGCTGGATCCGCTGGATGAAGGTGCTGAAAGCCTGCCAACTTGACGTCATCGTTGCGATTCCTCAGTGCTTCCAATATGACGCTGCTGAGAAGCAGGATCCAGAAATATCCGGAAGGAATGGAGCTCATGTCGAATGCACATATCGATCATACCGCCGTATTTCTCACCGCGCTTGAGAGATCTTGCCATTTCACGGCCTCACATGGCCTCACCGCAAGAGTGGTTCATCATGGTTCATCATGGTTCATCCAAGAAGCAGCCAAACATTCGCCGGGCAAATGTCGCCATGTGCTACTCCAGCAGCGTGAATGTAGTGCAATCCCATAGCCACATTGCACAGGAAATAGTCACAATCTGAGTTGAACGGAATGTCACCGGAGCGGGGGAGGCTGGGATGGGCAGTACATGCACCTGCACCGACCTGCACCAAAGAGCGACGTGGAAATCCAAGAGCCAAATCCCAGCCACGAAGACATCCCGATGTGTATAGCTCCGGCTGTGATCCCGTATCTAAAAATGTCAAGCAGAAGTTTCAGCATAAAGCAAGTCATCAATTGAATGATCTACATTAATAAGATCATATATGATCATAATATGATCATATGTGGCCCAATGATATTTGATTAAGGATACAGGACCTGTGATCTCCACTACTGGTAGCAGTTCTTTCTGCCAAGCAACAATTCAAATCCCCTAGGCGTCCAAAGTCTTTCAGAAACTTCTCGAGCGTCACATCCATCGTTTCAAAAACTGTGACGACTTCGCATTCCTTCGATTCTCCTCGGCCAATGCGAAGCAAAACGAATGGCTGCGATGCCTTGACGCTCAGAGCATCAGCGCCAAGACCGCGACCATCTGTAGCGATAAAAGCATCCCACATGCGAATGACATTCACGTTGGATGCCTGACAGCTGTCTGACATCAAGTGTTTGGCACAGTGTATTCGCATCTGCAACAAATGAATATATCCAACTTCGTCAATTGCCTTACACATCCTTACACATTGCAAAAGTGTGGACGCTTGGTGTCAAACTGCTAAGAAAGAATATCATCTATCATCAGGTCCTTCTTCAAGAACGAATATTCGTTGAATGCGTTCTCGGCCACATGGAAATTGCCAGGAACTTTTCGCAGAAACACCTGGCCGATGCGGCATTGAAGGCGTCCGAAGGACATCAATGCGATGCGATTCACCAAGGACATCCAAGGACTCGAACAGCCAAGAATTGCCATCCATGAACTGACGACAATGATACAACATGATACAACAATTGTCCATATTTGATCATATTTGTCCATTTTGTTGTCCATCCCAACTCCCATAGTTCTGTCTTACTCTGTCTTATCTATTCAATTCGATTCATATCTGGTGTCCATTTAGCCAAGTTTGCTGTGGTGCCCATGGCCCATTGGTGTCCCGCGCCTGCGTCTGCATCTGTAGTGTACGTGACATGTGCGCCTGAACTGTGCAGTCCTTTCCAAAAGATGCGTCAGCCACCTTGCAAAACTGAGAATTGATCCATGGCACGCAGAGCAACAAAACAACATGACGGGTCATCTTGAATGGATTATTGTTGCTCGGAACTCATCAACAATTCTCGCACCAGTCGCTGTGTGCGAAGTCAAACTGCTAGCAAGGGCAGAACACATACATGGTTTGAGGATGTTAGAGGGTCAGAAGAGGGGACACCTTCTGTAAAGCAAGGTTCTGGTTTATCTGGTTTGTGCTTTGGTTATGAGGGGATACCTCTCCGCCTCAGGTAGTCGTTTGCTTCCTTGAGCATGCTGAACACCGACCTGCCTTCTGGTAGCACTTCGGCAAACGGAACTCGCCGCATTTCAGGGGATGAACCTCGTCACATGCAATGCTCAGCAGCTCAGCAATGCTCAGCATGCAGAATGACCGTGCCTCCAAATCCAAGGAATTGAGGCAGGGCTGGAGCGTTGCAACAATGACCTTAGTGCATCTATGTGCATCTTAGAGCGGGTCATAAAATGTGTTGACCAAACCACCACAAAGCATGGAAGAAATTGGAACACTATCCATCATAACATCATAACATCATAGGAATAACAGCATAACATTATCACTTATCGCTTATATCTTATATATTATATCTTATATCTTATATCATCATCATCATCATCCTCCTCCTCCTCCTCATCCATACAGAATCTCAAAGGTATGCAGCAAACACCTGGCCTCACCATCGGTGAACTCCAAAGGTCCCATCTTCAGGGGAGCATTCCGATGCCTTAAGCGGAAAATTGATGAAAGTTGCAATCAAACAATATCAAACACACAAATGTCGTTCATGCCGAGTGCTGGCCATCAGGCTGGAGATGCCAACATATATCAACATATCATATCATGCATGAAGTAGAATGTTCTGTGTATGAGGCCATGAATAGGAGTGTTGTGCATTTTTGCAAGCTCATGTCAAGTCTCTCTCGACAACAAGTTTGGCGCATTTGGATGCGTGTCAATACTGACGTTGGCTCTGGAAAGCGATCTATGTTACGTGCGATACCCGTAACCGTAGCACCGCTTCCTTAGATTGTGACATGTTGTGACAAAATGACACTTATTGTACTTGTAGGATCTTGTCTTATAGGCTGTTCAAGACAGGACGCACCAGCTGCCATTGAAAGGCCAAACTGTCTCCTTCCTCATTCACCAGTCTATGCAGCTCCTCTCCAGTAGAGTTTCGTGCAATGGACACCTGCGGACTTTCATCACATCCGAAACATCAGCACATCCAGCACAATCGAAACATTGAGGGTGGCACTTTCTTCCTAAAGTTACTTTCTTAGCTGGAAGATCGTTGCAAAAAAGTCAGCTTTCTTAATGCTTCATCATCGAGCCCCATATAGGGATCCAGGAAAGGCAAAGAAAGAGCTGCCCTTGCTGCGTTTAACGTTTCTTTCTGTTGATTTCTGCCCAGTCTTCAAAATCTGTAGACAAGGGCTGCACAATCGCTTCCTGAGCCAACATCGCACCTCGAGGATTTGCTTCCCACTCAATGCACGGATGTCCAGCCGCACTTGCTCGTTCCCATCCGCGTACATTTCACCCGAATGAGTATTGCATATCTGGTTCATCGATGCGTATGGTCAAAATGTATGTAATATGATGTAATGTAGGATCATGAAGGGATTTGTTCAGCCCTTGTTCCTTGAAGCTGTGGAAGGTCTTTGTTTTTTTCTGGTTAGTATGCCTGAAGCTTGAGTCCTGAAATATGAGATGCACAAGCCATGTGCAGCGTTCAGGTAGCAGTCCGTAATGCTTTACACCTCCGCTTGGATTCAAAACCTATAGAACTTCTGCAAATCCTATGCCATTGGTGAATTTGGGTTCCCCATGTTCCTCCCCCAGTACCCAGGGGCCGGCTGCTTTTTCAGCCGATTCTTTGCCGCTTCGCACCATCTTTCGACCTGCGGCTGAAATCTCTCAGGGAGAAACAAAGACATCGAATTACAGTCTGCACTCTTTCAATTAAGATCGGAAATGTCACTTGTCTCCCAGGTCACAAACCTCTTGTCTTCCACTAAGGACCGAACTCTGGATTTTTTCCTCCCAAGCGACACGTATTAAATGACTGCAGCATCGGCCCTCACCACCTTCCTCTGCTGAAAAAACAGACTCTCACTTTGACATCAGACATACGACACATTGCGACATCCATCGATTTCGATGTGACACTTTCATCCCGTCCTTGGATCGTCGAGACCGCAGTCTGGCGTGGGGTGAGGCATGTGATGGTTTCCACACTGCTGTATACACTGCTACTCCATGCTACTCCATGACACACGATCGCACGTGTGTTCGATTTTCACTCCGGGGAGCGAATTGAAGCTTGCCGAAACGGAAACAGTTCGATCAAGTTCGATCAAGTTCGATCGCCCAGGCCTTCAAGTAGCTGCAAATGCTGCCTACCTGCAGTTTCCAACTGGCAACCATTGGGATCCATTGGGATCCATTGGGTACAATGGCTCCAGGTGAGACACATCACAAGACGTTGCGGTCCGTACCATGAAGTGTTGCAAGCAAAATGTGCAGAATGCTGAGATGTGGAGCCCAAGAAAAGCAAACAGCTCGGTAGCGACTTGTGTCGTTTTTCTCGGTTTTTCTCCTCGGTTTTTCTTGGTTTCTTCATGGTTTCTTCATCTTTCTATATCTTTCTTCTACTTTTCGCTTTCGGGTAGCAAAGCTATGCACATCGCACGGCCTCCGATGGATCTCGCGCTTCCAAGAGATCCAGCACCTCCCCCGCTTGCCACCTCATGACATCTCATGACATCTCATGACATGTCGATGTGGTTCATGAATGTTCATTGAATTCCATGAATGTTCATGAGATATGGAAATTCCATGGAATTCCTCTCTCAGAACAATACATAACAATACCAATTCATATATGTTCATGACCGAGAAAAAAAACAGGTAGAGCAAGGAATATTTGTGACAACATGTGACAACCAAACTCTACCAGACTCCACCTGACCTTATGCTCCAAGGCGCGCTGGCAAACATCGCAAACTCAGATAGGTTGGGACGTCGATCCGTTGATGGCCGGGCAAGTTGCTGTTGATCTGCAAACACCGCCTCACAGTGAATCATCTCACTCAAGATCTCAGCATATTTTAACGATATCCAGCATTTTGATACATTTTGTCCTTTTGCATTGACTCCAGGAAATGTGCAACATCTGAAGACAGTTGACGACTTGTTTCATGGCATGTAAATGTACCATAGTGCAATAGGTGCAACAGGTGCAACAGATTCTTGAGGTGTGAAATGTTCTCCTAAGAAATACAAAGTGGAACCCTTCTACTTTGAGCTTTAAACTGAAACTGCTACAGTGCTGTATAGGAGACGAAGATCTTCTGAGAGCCCAAAAAAGGAGTGGACGAAGTGACGAAGTGGACTGTTATCGTTTTGGAGGTCAATCCTCGCCTCTCGAGCGGTGTCAGGTCTAGCGGCGTAAGATTAGGATTCCTTGGAACGACAGGTGAATTCCGATGCAATGACTTTGTGCAACTTTGATCTCTTTGATCTCTATTCTCAGCATGGACAGCCATGTAGGGAAATAGAGATCAGAGATTGATCATCTAGAGGCAATTGCAGGATTCCGACGACGCAAATTCTCTGCGAAGGTAAAAATGTTCTGGAGACTCTGTAGCTCAAAAGTCTCAATACTCAGTGCTGATTTTGTCGTTCAAATCTGCATTGGCATTTCTCTACAAAGAATACAAATTGTGAACTGTGGATGCAGGTCAAGAAACATGTTTCCAGCATGCCAGTGATTCCCTTTGCTGCCACCTTTCTCACCTCCCGGAAGCGGATGCAACAATACAGATGCTTGCCATGAGATTGATATGGAGACATTATCCCACTTCCCATTTCAGATTTGCCATTGGTCGAAAATGTTGGTTTGGCAACTTTGGATGCAACGCGCAATTCATCGCAGTCTGCTTTTTCAATTCTCCTAAGCACACCACCTTTTCCGCGAAAAAACACAGAGGTTTTTAGAGTTCCGGGAAAGTGTTGAAACTATTTGAAACTTGTGAAAACATGGTCTTAAGCACAAGTTAGGCCATCACGATGCCATCATGTCATGGTCTTCTTGCCTGGCTCGCCTTTGGCGCCCTTGCCCTTGCCACGTGCCCGTGGGACAAAGCCGCGAGCCACGGTGCTGACGATGTAACCAGATGGATTCCTGGCAGTAGGGCACCAGTGGGGCACCAGTAGCAGATTATATTCTAAAGAAACGCATAGAACCGCATGGGAGAAGTATGCAAGACATGTGTTACATTTTGATCCATTTTCCCCACAATGATCCCAAGTCCACCGATACTAAGGCACTGAATTCGTTGTCAGTTTCACGCAGTTCCCAACAATTTGGCTCAAGGGTTTGGCCTCAAGTTCTTGTGGTGCTCACACACATACCTCGCAGACTTCATGCAAACTGCAATGTTCTTTGAACAGGCAAAACTTCTGACGACTTCATTTATTTGAGAAAAAAAACATTTCCAGTCCATGTGTAGATGCATACAAATACCTGTCTATGTATAATTGCAGGGCATTCATGTCGACAGCTACTTGTATATACTTAATGCATATGCACATTACACATATAATCATCAATGCATATCTGCTCATACATGAAAACAAACAACATTAATATCTATGCACATGTGTGGAACTAATTCAAGGCATGGTTGATTCAAACGCAGAAAATTCTGGTGTGCCACCAATTTGGGATCAGCAAATACATATTATGTACGTATAACATATTATGTATACACTGTAATGTATATATATATAAAATTATATTAACTTATTTATACTATACCATACTATATTATACTAGATTCTACTATATTATATTATATTATTGAATTGTATTAGATTACATTACATTATACTATATTATATTATATCATATTATATGTTATATTATATTATAGTATATTGATATATTGTATATTGTATAGTATATATTGTATAGTATATTATAAATTATATATGATATTTATATATGGTATATTATATATATATCATATATTATATATCATATATTATATATATATTATATTATATAGATTCATATGCTATCTATTATACATCATATATGAAATTTTTATAATATACATAATTATATATGCACTATATATACATATATATATATAAGCTATACCTATATACATATTATATGTGTCTTATTCATTTAATTCGTTGATATTATGATTCATATTATGCTATATGTTGGTTGAATACATCTGGAGGCATAGATACATAAATTACAGATTGTGGAAATATACATAGTATCTGTATGGATCCTAATCTATTTGGAAGCTGTTGTGCTGAATTTCTACCGAGCTGCTCAAGGAGTTCCTCAGCATGTTCGTGAGGAAGACTTGCCAGTGCCTGTCTGGCTTGATCTTCCAATTGGATGCCCAGCTCTTGCACTTTCTGCCTCAAGATACACAAACTGCAGCATCATGCAGCATCATGCAGTATCATGCGGTATCATTGAATGAATCATGCAATATCATACAGCCTAGTCCATGGAACTTGCTGGGTGATGGGATGTTTTCTTTGCGTTCTTTGATCTCAGATTCAGATGGTGTCCAAAAAGCTGAAGCCGGGGCCATCCTCCAACCTTCACATCAACCTCAAGCCAACTTGAGAGAGTCTGTTGTTGCCAGATTCTCATACACGTTCCACATAGAAACTGTTTGAACATGTTTGAATCATTGTTTGAACATGCACAATTTCTAGGTGCCACCGCACCGTTTGGCTCTTTGAGTGCTTTGCGTGGTGTGAGCCCGGCTTGAAGCCCCTGTCACAAGTGAAAGTTTGAAAAAGTTTGGAAAAGTTTGGAAAACCCCTGAATGATCCAAATCATTCCAAATCAATTTGCGGTGATCCAAATCTGGTTCCATCGCCTGGACACCACGGATACCACATACCTTGAAGGATCTGGAAGCTCCTGCGCCAGCTGTGTACTCTGTTTTTGACGGAGAGACTCCCAAGGGCTTCAAATCAAATGATATGATTTTCACCTTCAAACACCCCGCATATGTATAAATTTGTATAATTGTATAATATCATATAGAATATATAATTAAATGTACATTAATTGAACACAACAGTAGAAACTGTATCAGACATATACGTTTGCATATTATCATAAATTGTCAGAACACTACTGTAGTTTTCAAAGCAAACACACAAACAGGGACTTGTTGCAGCAGTGCTGTCCCCAGATTTCTCAAGGACAAACTCGAGGAGTTCCGCAGCATGCTGTGGCGGAAGGCCTGGCTTACAAAAGTACCAGCATTGCCTCCTTGTAATTATCTGTATGCTTATGTGAGATACCTCGTTATACCTTGACCGACATTTCTAATTGTGTCATGTCCAAATCATAAATGTATAAATGTTCAGTAATACTGTATCAATTGTATACAGTTCAGAGATGGCATCTTGCATATAAGAATCACTGAAAATCTGTATCCAAACACAAGTACTGGCTGGCAAACATTTCTACTCATTCGCCAACTGCACTCAATCATCTTGTGGTAGGTGCTTTCGGATCCGTTTTGATACCGGCTGCTTCTTTTCGACCTCTGTTCAACTTTCCTTTTCCCTGGTTCTCTTCCCAAAAGAGTGCTGCTATGAATCTGAGTATGAACTGATGCTAAAAATCGATTGAGGTATTTACCGGGGCACTTAGTCCTCTCAACGAAATATCACGGCCACATCAATATGAGCCTGACAAAGCCACAAGAGCTTCACTGGTCAATGACAAACCAACTCTTTGAGCTTTGCTCCTGGGACAAAGGACAAAATATGACAAGATGAGGACTTCTAAGATTTTGCTTCCAGTGGGTCAGAGGGGGTTCGCTTGTCATACTTTACTCATACTCTTGCCATCGCAAAGGTTCAGGGTTTCAGTCGAAGTCGCCTGTGATTATCTTGAACCCTAAGAAAATCTGAGAGGAACTTTAGATTCCATGACCTTGTAGCAGCACACGCAGATCAACGGGCTCCACCACTGCCAATTTGAGAACCAAACAGAAGCCTTTCCATCGTGGCACCATCAATTCCGCCTTGTGCTTCAAAAACAACCACGAAAATGACCGAACAGCTGCAAAGTACAAGCTGTTCTCAAACAGAGTTCTTGGAAAGCTGTGGCGCCCTACCTGCCGTCCCATCCTGCCCAGCTCCTGAACACAGCCATCTTCCAAGGACATGAAGAGTTCTGAGAGGAAACTATGAACAATGGACCTGGTCCTTACAGAATTTAAGTTAACAATCATGTCACCATGTCGATAGACTCTAATTACTAATGTGCGATCTGGCAGTCAATTTTTTCATGAATGGAATGATTCCCTCAAAAAGGATCTAGCTCTCGAAGCCTCGAAGTATTTGCTAAAGTATAGCTGAAAATGAAAATGGTCTCTTCTGTTCTCTAGAATATTTTAGAATAATTCACATCTTAGTCATCTTGGCATTCTATCTTTGCTTTTGGATGCTTTTGGTGTGTTTTCGAACCCCCAAAAGGGGGTAGGATCTTGCTCCACGCCTGGCGATCGCCCGACCTCAGCATGCGCTTTAGGATATGCCACACCAAATGGATCCACCAATAGAGGGAAAGCTTCAGTCCATTGAGGAAACGGCTTTGTGTTTAGTGAATTTTAGTGAGTTATTGCGAGAACACCCTGGCAACTGCAGGTCCCAGACCGACTGAGCGACATATTGCGAGGCATCGCCCACCACAGAATGGTTGTCCTGGAAGGAACGCATGGCCCAAAAGATCTGCTTCAAAGACCTACAAACTGCGTGAAAAAAAAACGACAACTGGCTCCCTGCTCCCCACATGGTAACGTGCTCTGTCAAGAACCATGTGGACAAATGTGTATTCTGTATAAGTCTGTCTAGATGATTCTAGAAAGATTCTAGATGAGATAATGGAGCCTGGGGGCCCTGGATCACAACTCGCACAAGCTGAAGCCCTTTTCAGACCACCATTGCATGAAGTGCACGTTTCCCACCCTTTAAGCCAAGCAGCGAGTGAATGCCAAATGGATGAGGATCAAACAGATGAAACAGCAACTGATTTCACTGATTTGTCACTGCTCTTACTTTCTGTTGGCTTCACTCGCCATGGTTCAGAACCAGTGGTGCTACTGATTGCGTCTTGAGAGTCCGTCAGGCTGACTTTGGGACTCATTTGCCACTGCCGCAATCGATCTCTAAGCTGACGATTTCGCTTTGTTAGTGCATCAGCAAGCATAGCTTCAGTTGGGACCCAATGCAAACTCCGACAGGTCTGTCTCAAAGCAGCAATGTCAATCTCAACACGTTTTTCTTGGAAGCTAGTCGCCAGACGATGTATTGCATCAAACAAAGACCGTGCATCTGTTACAGGCCAAATTGAAAATGGGGACTTACCGGAATGGGAAGCTATGTAACTGGGAACAGACATCTCGCCCAACACGCAACCCAAAAAATTGGCATAGTCCTCTGACTTATCTAAGCTGGCCGCCTCAGAAGCAAGCGTGGATCTCAGAACTCTTTGGTGTCGGTAGCTCTTCCAATCCAGGAGCGATGCTTCGGCACTGCACTTCGCACATTCAGCAGTCGTTGCGGTGATCAAGAAACCTCCTTGAGATTTGCCTCCAGGTGCATTGGCAAAAGCTGAGTCGCCGTAGGCCACCAGGATCATAGCATCAAGGCTGACAGGTCTAATTGTCACGCAAGTGTCTGCTGTTGCTTTGCAATACTTCAGGATTGTGTTGGCCTCCTGCAAATCACCATAGGTCAGCTCATCATGGGCCTTCTGGATCAGAGACGTATCTGCCGCCACATCTGGTCTCGTGGTTCCAGCTAGCCACTGCAAAGAGCCAATCGCAGAACGAAACTCTGACATAGCATTTCGATCAGAACCCATCTTTTGCTCAGGATCATTCTTGTTTTTGGAAATGATCACATCTGATGCATAATGGCTTTGACTTAAGGTGATCCTACCATCTTCATGTTTCACAATCCTACGACCAACAAAAACAAAGTCGTTTTTCTCCCATGGTCCTCCCCAAGAGAAACTGCTCTCAACTGATTGCAGCACGCCATCATCTGGTGACAAAGAACATGCTATGATGTCGTCCACGTGAATGCCAAGCACTGCAGTCACTTCATTCTTGGAGTTCCGATAGAGAAACACGCAGGGATCCAAAGAATGCTGCACCCAGTTCAACCGAGTCATGACATCCAGAACATGTAAAAACCATTGCCGTGGTGCATTAGCTTGTCCATATACTGGTGCAAATAGTATATAGAGCTGAGATGGATCCGCTGCCCATTCAGGAACTGCTGCCAGTGAGATACCATCTTGCGGAATTCGCATGCAAATCTGCTGAGGTCTTTCAGTATCCGGTTTTCCTTGCAAGAAAGCAGATTTGCAGTCTCCATTCCACAAATCAACATTGTTGCTCGAAGCCCATTGCAGAATGCACATCAAACCGATGCGACTCAAAACAGGAGCATCTCTTGACAGCAAAGGCAAGTGAGGATCACGAAATCCTTGGATAACAATCCGAGCTTTCGCTTTGAAAGAAGAGCCTCCATCAATAGGCTTCCAACGATAGCACACACGTGCTGGCAGAATCAGCTCCTTGGCAATCTTTGTCGCATCACCAGTAAACTTCTGGCATGAAGACCACTTTTTCCACTCATCCCACTCTTTGATCATCGCATCAACGAAGGCTTGAAAATCACTTGCACCAATTGACTTCCAAGGGATCTCCCGCTTGAGGGCTTGACGCTGGGTCCTCTTCAAACCTGAATCCTCCTCGTCAGAGGTGTCAGGCAGCGGATTGAAGCCATCCGTTTTGGTCACAAAAGAGCGGAAAGTCTTTGCACGGCGAGTTGGAGAGGCAGCTGAAGTCTTGAGCTCATCTTCCCAATCGTGGAAGTGGCATGCCCATGCAAAGGACTGTCGACCTTGGCATAGAGACTGGAATTCCTTTGGACTGCCATCCCAACCTCGCACAAAAGCATCTGAACGACCATGACGTAAAAGAAGAACTTGATGTAAATCATAGTTCCGAAACAAAAACTTGTTCTGCTTCAAACGAAAATCCTTCACTGATCCATGGTCAAACTTGCTAGAGTGGTAAATGGTGATAGTGTTGGTTGCCGGTGTTTCAAGAAGCTGCTGTTGCTGCAAATCCGTGCTCACATTGGCTAAGGTAAACCATAGCCACGCTCCACTGGCTTTCGACCACTTGGCCGTACTTTTCAACTTCGAGTTGGTGGCACTGGTTGTCTCATTGTCATCATGCCCTCGGAGGACTTCATCATCGTGCCAAACGCCAGTGTTCCAGATCTGCTGCAGCTCTGACTGATCGGGCATGTGCACATCATCTGAATGCACCAACAAAGAACTTCGCCAGCTCTTCGTCCTCGCATCAAATTCGAGGTCATCATCAAACCAGCTCTGAACTTGCTCTGGGTGGTCGGTGAACTGATAGGACAGGCATCGACAACATTGTGGTCTGCCCGCATCCATCTGCTTGTCCAAACAGCCGCAAAATTGGCAAAAGGATTTTGAATTGATGGTGTACGTCTCGTGCACCGTGAGATTGGTTTGGGTGGAGAGCTTGTCGTCTCCCTGTGCTCCAGGAGGGTCATTTTGAGTCTCCTGTCGTGGTGTCAAAAAATCTTGGCCTTCGTCATCTTCCGGCACTGGTGGAAGTGTTGACAGTCCATGGGAAAGCTGTCGCTGGAGATTCTCATCAGGCACTGAAGCAAAAGAAGATCTCCTTGAAGATGCCGATGATGATTCCGTCTTCTGACGTTTCGAGTCAAAAGGTTCTACAAGGCTTGGTGCAACTGACGGTCTTCTTGAACTTGTGTCCATCTCTATGGGCTCTTGCGGAGTCATGGGCTCAGGTTCCAAAGGTCTCCCAGTTAAGTCCAAGGGAGCATCATGCACCACGCCTTCTTGAGCTGAAGGAACCTCATCAACGGCTTGACCTTCTGGGCTGAGCACTGGTTGTGGAAGGTCTGGCAAAGCAAAAGGAACAGGTTCAGGGTGTTCATGCATAGGGGCAGGCAAGGCAGGAAGAGCTCCATCTCTAAGGTCATGCTGAACTGCATGTTTCCTGTCCAGATCACCTTCGGTTTCGCGAAGAAGCGCAAAATCTGGCTCACCAGGAATCCAAGCTTCATCTCCTTGAAGGTTTCTGACCTGCTCACGTGCTACCTGAACTACACGTCCACGATCATTCCGCAGCCACAAAGAACCTGTTGGGCCAGGATCGGCTGCCAAAATGATACCTTGTCGGTATCCTGGCTGTGCACCTTCATTGTCAAGACTGTTTCGAAGTCTCCAATACACCACCTTCTGGCCTATCTCGTAGGGTCCTCTCCATGGCCTGGATCTTCGCAGCATGGCCTGTCTCAAAGAGGCATCGCTGTCAAAGTCCAGAAAAAGCTTCATGGCATCAGTGCGAACTCGCTCAATCATCTGAAGACGTCTGCTGAGTGTGAGTTGATGCATTGCTTCGGCATTCTCGGTTTCTGAAATCAAGGAAGCAGGTATGCGGGGATTCTGACCCAACACCCATTGAGCTGGACTAGCACCTGCGCGTCGTGCTAAAGTGTTCTTGGCATGAGTGGTCATGGTGGCTATCATGTCCATGCCCTCGGCTCCAATGATTCCATGCTGATGTACAAGGCGGTACATCATTTTTCGGGCGATATCTCCATGTCTTTCGCCCTTGCCCAACTGATGATGGGCGTCAGGAGGAATGAACCTCACTTGAATGCCGCTCTGCGCCATCAGCTCCTCAAAGTCAAAACTCTTCATCGCACCTTCGGCATCCAAAAGAAGCGCTTCAGGAAGCCCAAAGAAACGAAACCAACCAGTTGATAGAGCTTTCATGATGCCTTGTCCTTCGCGATTGTCCAAAAGTGTCAGGACCTGATAGGTGGTGGTGTCATCAACCTGATTGAGGAAAATGAAGGTGTCTCCAGCCATGTCCTTGGCAAAGATCAAATCCAACATCACGCGCTCATTGAAGCGTTTGGTGATTGGGAATGATTTGGCTGGGCGTTGTTCTCTTGGAGGTCTCAACCGCTCACAAACAGCGCATTTCAAAGCTCTGGCTCCCATCATTGCCATAGAAGAAGCATTGGCTTGAGACAACTGTCTCACCAGAGTGCTGTTGTGAGGATGCCCAAGGTTGGTGTGGACTCTTTTCAACACCGAACGCATCCACTTTGGCAGTTGATCCTCGCTCAGACCAGGAAACGTAATGTCTCTGGCTCCAGGTTCCCACTCGGCCATAGTCTGTTCCGGCTCAATCGCAGGAACATCATCTTTCTGCAAGGCCTGGCGCTGCTTGGAGGTCTCAATGGCCATGGGCTTGCCGTAGAGAAAGATGGCCACTCGCACAGTACGCTCAAACTTCTTAGAAGGCTGGCTAACATCTGCGAGGTCCTGGGACTCGACCTCAATGGAGCCATCTTGATAAAGAAGAGCAGCACCTCGGTGGGTAATGTCAGGAGTCTCCAACATCTTGCCCGTTGGGACTCGACGCACCTTTGGTGTGCGATAGATCTGCACATGTTGCAAGTGCCAGGGAACCAACATCTTGATCTGCTCAAGGTATGCTGAAGGCTTCACAGTAGCATATGTAGCCACTTTGCCCTCAAGCCGCTCAGCTGCTTCTTTCAAAAGAGGCGCCCACATCTCCGGATCTTTCTGCAAATCCACATAGTCAGGA